TAACGGACTGCCGTTTCTTTAATTATTATTATTATTATTATTATTATTATTATTATTATTATTATTATTATTATTATTATTAGCCAACTGCACATCCCGTTAAGGACAAGGCCTCCTGCTTGAGCAGGGAATTATTAATACTTCTATAATAAAGTGATAGGATTGAAGGGGTGAAAAGACGATCACAAATACATCCATGCCCGAGGTGGGATTCGAAACCACGATCCTTCGATCCGACATCGCCACGACACTTCAGCCGATCGCGACTACCCGGATTGGCTGGGGAATGCTGTATAAGCCTCACCAAAGTGGAAGGCTATTCATAAAAAAAAGAAGCATTGCATTGTATACGCTGACATCACGTCATCAATGAAACCTCTGCCACACGGAGCGCAATTGCCAAATCTCACAGCACCAACCACTCCACTCGACGAGAACCAACAGAGCAAGTGAAGGTGATGAATCAGAAGATCGGAAGGTGAAAAGGAAGGCCACACCTAAATTCAGTAGACTCAAGTCGATGACTTCGTGCGGGATCTCAATTTGACGAAAAAGAAAGCTGAACTTCTTGGCTCTAGATTACAACCTTATAGCAGAACCTTATAGCAACCTTACAGTAGAACCTTATAGCATCAAATACGTCTATATCAATACGACGGGAACGAAGTAGACAATTCACACAGTTCTTTTCAATGAAACTGTAAATGTGTGTTTGTAACAATGCGACTGGACTCTTCCACGCAATTAAATTAGAGCAGATCCCGAGTGAATGGCGTCTCTTTCTGGATGCTTCAAAGTTAAGTTTGAAAGCTGTATTTGCATAACGGAAACAAATGGCTTTCCATCTCCTTTGCTCATGTCCTGTGAACTGCATTGATTTCAGCACCCTCAAATTGATAGAGCCGGTCAGGATAGCTGAGATGGTTAAGGCATTAGTCCCGTAGTGATCTCGGACCGAAGGATCGCGGGTACGAGTCCTGCCTCGGGTATGAATGTATTGTGTTCATTCTTTCACCACCTATCATCACCATATCATGTTATCTTCACAGTTACCATACCGTTAATTGAAATAGTGTTCGCTAATGACCTAGATGTTGATACGACCTTAAATAACAAAAAGTCCTCTCTTGCCCGGCGTTTTGTGTTACGCCCAAGTGGGTAGTTGACCCTACCCTTCCATCTCCCACCAAAAGTGTATATGAAGGGGAAAACACAAATCAGATTTTTTTCAAACTGTCATGTTTATCATTAAATTATCATCAAATTGTAATCACATTTATTTTATGAAACAGCAGCAATTTTTGCAACGCAAAATCAGCGCTGCGCTTTTTTTAACAATCTTTGCAAATTGATTTTGTCGATCATGTCGCTATAAACATATAAAATCGCAATACCGTTGAGCCGATCTTGCAACGTAGTTGTTCATATATACATTTGAGTCGACGCAATAAAAGAGAAACTTAGTTAATTGTTGAAATTTGGCGTTTATGGAATATTTCTTTCACCCCAAATTCCGAGTGCCAACCACCATCCCCGTATTATCCGCCGGGACTGAGACTCCCACATTCATTCCTGTTACATAAAAAAGTTTTTATTTGTTGTATAGTGTTATTAGTTTATAGAGAGTAATGACATTGTTTAGAGATTACTATTGAAGTTTAGAAGTGTCTTCAGTTGAATTAATTTTATTTTGGGTTACTGTAATTTTACTGTAATGTAGTTTTTTACAATTTAGCCTGGATTCAGCCCTAGTTATTTGATTATATGGAGTCTAAAGTATTTGGGTGATTGTTTATTTGAAGTTGAGGTTGAAAATTTTCTTAATGAGCTCAATTAACTAGTACTTACAGTTTGTAACGCAAAAGTAATTTCAACCCCGTGGTTTATCTTGTTTCACAGAGAAATATTTTCGACAAATATTTTTACTGATCATTGTCTTATCGTGTTGTTAGTTTTGTTGGGCTGCGTGTTCTCTTTAATCTTCCCCCTTCCCCTCTCCAGGATCCATCGCAGGCTGTACGGTACGACTTTTACACGTCTACACCGGCTCCTCGTTCGTATACTACGTACGGATTTTATCTTTCGCATAAAACTCGTATTGTGTATGTGATGAAGATCAGTGTGCAATTCTGTAGAGGTGGAATTTTCTTTCATCCGCTCCGAATTTATTTTAAATCTTAACAGCTTCTTTCTATGTACCCATTTTAATGAATATAATGAATTTTTATTTCAAACATTATTTACTTTTTAGTACATTTTTGGAAAAAATAACTGTGTGTGTGTGTGTGTGAGTACATATTTTGCTTTATTTTATTACAATACATTCCATTCCCTAGTTATTAGTAAGGTAATTTTTGCTTATTTTAGTGCTACCACATGGTAGCGACAAATTGAACTAGTCTCGGTACTTTAACCTTAAGTATAGCATTACGTGTTTTGTTTCAGGTCCATAAAGAAACAGTAACGAAACTAGTACACCATAAATCACCTTAACATTTCAATCGATGTTCTAAAATCACTTAGAACGATCTGTTGGCTGTTGCAAACTATACAAAATAAAGCGCTAAGAACTATAATTAAAGCGCCATGTTTATTTCGAACAAGCAAATCCACCACGAACTGCAAATTCCGACAATAAAAGAACACATTACCAA